GCCGGAGACCTCGCCCACACTGCTGTGGACGGGGAAGGTTGGCGACGCGTCGCGTTTCCGGGTCTGGGGTGCTCGTGCTTTTGTCCGCGGTACCGTTGCGGACAAACTCTCCCCTCGCGGCATTCCTTGCGTCTTCCTTGGCTTTGTCACTGACGCGCCTGGCTGGCAGTTTTACGACCCCGCCTCGCGCCGTGTCTTTGCGTCTCAGGACGTCACCTTTGACGAGTCGGTCCCCTTTTACCGCCTCTTCCCCTATCGCACTGCTCCTCGCCCCCTCCCGCCGCTCTTTCTCGCCCCAGTTCCTCCCCAGGTAGACCCCCTCCCTGCGCCAGGCCCTGCTCCTTCAGGTGTTTCTCAGGTAGATCCTCCCGTCCCTGCGCCTGTTGAGGTCACTGGTGACTCCGGTTCTGGTGGGAGTGGTGCTGTCCCTGGGGGTGCGGAGCTTGGGGGTGCGCAGCGTGGGGGTGCTGAGTCTGGGGGTGCTAAGCGTGAGGAGCCTGAGGGTGCAGAGCCTGGAGGTGCTGAGCCTGCGCGTGAGGAGCCTGGAGGTCCTGAGCCTGGGGGTGTTGCGTCTGGGGGTGCTACGCCTGGGGGTACTGAGTCTGGGGGTGAGTCGCCTGAGGGTTCTGAGACTGTTGTTACGCGGTCTCCTTGGAGTAGCCGTCTTCGTCCGCGTGTGCCTCTCGCCTCCCAGCAGCTGCACGACTGGTACGGTCGCCGTCAGCGTCGCGCTTCTGCGCCTCAGGGCTCTACTGCTGGGGGTTCTTCTGCTGGCGTCACTGGAGCTAGGAGTGGTGCTGGTCCTTTGCCTGCTGGAGGTGCTGGTGTCGCTGGTCCCGGAGGTGCTCGTACTGGGGGTACTGGAGCTGCTGGGGCTGGCGGTGGTGTGTCTGAGGGTACTGCTACTGGTGGCACTGCGGTTGGAGACCCTGGGCCTGGAGGTGCCGGTTCTGGGGGTGCTGCACCAGGAGGGGCTGGAGCTACTGAGGGTGCTAGAGCTGCTGGAGGTACTGGAGCTGCTGAGGGTACTGGAGCTGCTGGAGGTGCTGGAGCTGCTGAGGACGCTAGAGCTGCTGGAGGTACTGGAGCTGCTGAGGGTACTGGACCTGCTGGAGGTGCTGGAGCTGCTGAGGGTGCTGGAGCTGCTGGAGGTGTTGGAGCTGGTGAGGGTGCTGGAGCTGCTGGTGCTGGTGGCACTGCACAGCCGCGCCTGTTCTTTGCTCCGCCGTCTCCGTCATCTCTGCCACCGCCTGACTCCGTACTTCGCCAGGTTCTTAGCCTCCCGTCGTCTACTGGTCTTCCGTTACAGCCTGGCTCACCTCTGCCTGCTCCTTCTCCTTACACTGAGCAGACAGGGGGCCTTGCTGAGCGTCGTGAGCCTGCGTTGCGTCTTGTCTCACCTCTCCGTTCTGGTCGTTCCAGTCGTCGTGTTCCTCGACAGCGTCAGCCGGCTGTCCCCGGCCCTTCCCTTGTAGTCCGTCGTCCTTCCTCTCCTCCGCAGCGTGTTCCTCTGTCGTCTCCTCCTTCGTCTTCTCTGCCTGTCGTTACGGAACCTGAGTCTGACCGGTTTCGTGCTGAGAACCCTAATGTCACGCGTCTGCTAGCCACTGTTGTCACTGACCCGTCGTTTGAGTCTACTGCTGCGTCTGCCTTTGTCGCTGAGCTGGTTGACTTTGCTGCTGCCTGTCGTCTAGACTACGCTGCTAGTCTTGTTGCTGAGTCTGAGTCTGTCTGTCCTCCGTCCGTCGGGGGTGCGTGAGCTCTTGGCACGGACGTCCTTGAGGACAGGCAGGAGGACCTTGAGTGTCTTGCCGCCGATGCGCCTCATCTCGCAGCCATGCTGCTTGCCCCTGAGGGAGACCCGAATGCACCAGACATCCCGACCCCGCGCTCTTACGCTGAGGCGATCGCGGGTGAGTACTCCTCTCAGTGGCAGACAGCCATGAACGCAGAGATGGCATCCTGGAAGTCCACAGGCACCTACGTTGATGAGGTTCCCCCACCTGGGGCGAACATCGTCAATGGCATGTGGATTTTCAGGGTAAAGCGGCCGCCAGGTTCTCCGCCTGTCTTCAAGGCTCGTTACGTTGCTCATGGTTTCAGTCAGCGAGAGGGAGTTGACTTCTTCCAGACTTTCTCCCCCACCCCGAAGATGACCACTCTTCGGGTGCTGTTGCACGTTGCCGCTCAGCATGACTACGAGCTTCACTCGCTTGACTTCAGCACAGCTTTCTTACAGGGCAGCCTAGACGAGGAGATCTGGTTGCGCCGCCCACCCGGCTTCACTGGGTCGTTCCCTCCTGGTACCCACTGGAGCCTCCGGCGGCCGGTCTACGGTCTCCGCCAGGCGCCTCGTGAGTGGCACGACACACTGAGGACGACACTTGCAGCTCTTGGGTTTGCTCCTTCGACTGCTGACCCGTCGTTGTTTCTGCGCACCGACACTTCGCTGCCGCCGTTCTACATCCTCGTGTACGTCGACGACTTGGTCTTTGCCACTGCTGACGCTGAGGCTCTAGCCCTGGTGAAGACGGAGCTGCAGAAGAGACACACGTGCACAGACCTGGGTGAGCTGCGTAGCTACCTTGGCTTGCAGATCACCCGGGACAGAGCACGCCGCACCATCACACTGACTCAGTCACACATGGTGCAGCAGGTCCTTCAGCACTTCGGCTTCACCTGGTCCTCAACACAGCACACTCCTCTGGCTACAGGTCACTTGCTCTCAGCTCCACCTTCGGACGAGTTCGTAGAGCCGAGTGGTCCTTACCCAGAGCTAGTGGGCTGCCTCATGTACCTGATGACCTGCACTCGTCCTGACCTTGCGTACCCTCTTGGCCTTCTGGCTCGCTACGTGGCTCCTGGTCGGCACCGAAATGTGCACATGGATGCTGCTAAGAGGGTACTGCGCTACTTGTGCAGTACATCGGGCATGGGGCTCGTGCTTGGAGGGCGGAGTCCAGTTGTCCTCACTGGGCACTCAGACGCTTCTTGGGTTGAGGACCAGGCTACACAGCGGTCATCACAGGGTTACACGTTCAGCCTTGGCTCCGGCTCTGTTTCTTGGCGGTCTACACGCTCGTTTTCTGTTCTCAGCTCCAGTTGTGAGGCTGATATCTACGCCACAGCCATGGCTGCACAGGAGTTACGCTGGCTCACCTACCTGCTGACCGACCTGGGAGAGCGGCCTCGTTCTCCTCCAGTTCTGTACGTAGACAACAAGGCCGCCATTGCCTTGTGTTAGGAGCACAGACTGGAGCACAGAACGAAGCACATCGCTCTGCGTTACTTCCTGGCTCGAGAGTTGCAGCAGCGGGGTCAGCTTCGCCTTGCTCACGTGGCCACTGGGGCCAACACTGCTGATATATTCACCAAAGCACTTCTGTCTGGTGACCATCAGCGCTTTTGTACTTTGTTGGGCCTTTTCCACACTTGCTGTAGTCTCTGCTTGTACTGTGATCTATATATATATACCTGCGTGCTTTCTCTTGCTAGCTAGAGATGGACTGGCCTTGTGGCGGTTTGCTTGAGCTTAGTGTGTGTGGTGACGTTGTGATCCACCCTGAGCTGTGTTTTGTTTCTTCTCTTGACTGGTCTTGTGACCGTTGCTTGCTCTGGCTATCCCCCATTTCGCCTATGGGGGTGTGTCAAAACATATGCATATCATTATCTAGGCTATATTGGAGCTAGCCTTAGGAGGTACAGAAACTTTCTCGACACTCTAGCCTTGTACCCCAACCTTCACCTAATCTCATCATTCTTGCCTTAGTTCTTAACATGTGGAACGTCAGTTCTGGTAAGGCCTATCATGCATACCGTACGATATTGTGTTGCGTCTGTTGTATTATAACCCCCACCCACCTAACCTAACACCGAACAGGGATAAACTTGTGCGCTCACACAACCCACCGAAACTACTCCTGCTTCTTCAGGTCACCTCACTTCTCGTCCTGCTCATCCATCAGAGGCCTTACATGCAATCACGGAAAAATGCCTCATGAAGTCATTATCACCCCTGCCATGTCATGTCATGTCATGTATTTCCCATGACTCATCATCACCCAATGTTGGTGCAACCCTACGGTTTGCACTCGGCTTGTTGTCCGTGTGTGTGAATGTGTGTGTGTATGGAATGGTATGAGGGCATGGGATAATATATATTTCATGCTTATAATTGTGTGTGAATGTTGAGTCATGATGTCGAGTGTGTGTGTCGAGTCAATAGCGAGTTATCGCTAGACGCGTGTTACGCGGTCGTTTGTGTCTCGCGCGCGGTTTCTATTTTGTCGTGCGCGGTTTCTATTTTGTCCTGTGTCGAACGTTCGGCGTGTCGCAGGTGTGTGCAGCAGACCCATCAAGAACTCAAGGATGAGTTTGTGATGAAGAGCCCGAGCCTTGGTGTCAAGCCTCAAGTGATTTCGAAGCTCGCCAAAAGGGTACACCTCAAGATATTGAAGATAGTTACATTACTTTGTGTAGTGTAACATTTCACTTGGTGTAGGACCTAGTGAAGGGTAGTTTCGAGACCCTTCGTGGTTGGGGACAGTGTGGCACTGTTCCACATCACTGTACCTCGGCTCTTGGGGTTTGTAGGAGCTGGGAGTCATTCCCAACTCGTAACTCTTCCTATCTTGTGTTCTAAGACTATAGTGGCTGCCATAGTACCGTTCGTTCAAACCGACGCTGTGTCGTCAATTCTTTATCAAATCGTGCAATCTAAATTGATAATTGTAGACGACGTGAAGACGCTCCAGATCCAATTTGAATCAAGTCATTTGCGGCTGTGAGCAGAACGCTATCAACGTTTGAAGCCGCTGTGCAGAAATCCGTCTGTGCTCTCTATCTTTCGTTTTAGGCACATTCAAGCCTATTGTGACTATAACACCCAATGCTGCCATCGTAAAGGAGAATCTCCACACACGCACCACACCACCCTATGAAAGGACACCTGCTTCTTCAGTCTCACTCCTCCTGCTCCGTTTGCTCGCAACAATCACCACTCAGTAGTATTCAAGGCTGCCGTCGCAAGACATGAACCTCCGCACCTGCACGACCTTATTAAATGACACCTGCTTCCTCAGCTTCGCTCCTCCAGTCCCGTTCGCCGGGGACAAGCACGACTTGATAGGGCTCCTAGCACCCCTCCCATGCGCTGCCATCGCAGCATAACCCATCCGTGCCCCCAAGGGGCCCCTAAAGGAGCCTCCGTCGACCGAGTTTCTCCGCATGAACCGCCGGCCATTCCCTGCCTGCACCCTCACTCCTGTCTCCTCCAAAGCTGTTGATCCCTCCACGCAATCCGCACTCTGGGACCGTGTAAACGCCCGTAGGGTCTGGTATGTACCCGTTCCCGCCTTGCTCTCTTCCGGAGAAGCAATGAGAGGGTGAAAGGGTGAGAAAGAGGGAGAGGCAGTGTGCAGCACCCCTCTTGCTTGAGGGTCATTTCTTCGGTTAGTGATGGCGGTGGCCCCTGGGGTGGCAGTGTTGTGGAGGCTGGGAGGGATGAGGTGGTGTGAGGGAGGGTAGAGGTCGGTTGGGCTACGGTTGGGATTCAATTCAGAAACACTTCGTTGGTGCCTCTGATTCTGTCCCCGGACCATACCTGTAACCATACCCATCTCTATACCACTGCCCGCACCTGTCCCCATACCCATACCTGCCCCCGTACCTCCCCCCATGCCTGTCCCCATTCCCATACCACTGATACTTGAGGGTGACTCGTGGTAGGACACGGAAGAAGGGGAGATATGGCTAAGGCCATGGGAGGGGTAGCGGTGGGTGCAATCTGGGCAAGAAGCGACTGAGTGAGGGAGATTTGGAGAAGGAAGGGGGTCCTGGAAAGAGGACGGGGGGAGGGGGATGGGGAGGCGGATAGAGGAGGCGCGGTGAAAGTGGCGGGACGAGGAGGGGGAGAGCCCGGGGGAAGAGGTGGGGGAGCGCGGAGGCTTGGAGGGGGAAACGGGGGGACAGGTGGGGGAGGGGGCGGAGGGGAAGGGGGAGGCGCAGGTGGGGGAGTGAGTGGGGGAGGAGGCGAGCAGGGCGAAAGGGGCAGGAGGGTGAAGCGGGGGGGTGGTAATAGGGGAAGGGCGGGAGAATATGGCGGGGATTGGCTTGTGTTGGCTTGAAGGGGAGGAGGATGGAGAGGAAGTTGGGGCGTGAGGGGAGGATGGCCGTGGGACGGGGTTGGCGGAGGGTTGTTGGTGGGCAGCGGGGGGTGCATGAAGGGAGGCGGAAGGGGAAGGCATGCGGGCGTGGATGGGGATGGAGGAGGCGGGAGGGTGGGGGGGCGCATGGGCGGAGAATGAGGAGTGGGATTGGGGGGAGGGTGGCGGGGAGAGCATAGGAGTGTTCCCCTTTGAGGCCGCATGTGCCGCAGCAGCTTCAATTTGCCCAGCAGGATTCAACCGCCCCCGTTCTCCATCAGCACCCTCGGTATAAGCACTCTCAGCAGCCTCGTTATAAGCACCCTCGTTATAAGCACCCTCGTCAAAAGGACTCGCATGATCAGAGTCAGCTCCGGCCGCGGAGCTATCAAACGACACCTGCAGCTGCTTCAGCCTCTCCTGCACCTCTAACGAGAACCTCTTTATCGCGGATGCACCCCCAGGACCACCCCCGGCGCCGCTGCCTCCATTCTTAAAGCTGGATCTCTCCTTAAAGCTGCTGTTCGCGCTGTTGCTGTTACTGCTGCCGCTGCGAGCACCGCTTCGCTGTAAGCTGCCTCGTTGTAAGCCGCCTCGTTGTAAGCTGCCTTGCCGCTCGCGAGGAGAAATCCTTCCAGCAGCTGCACTTCCAGTGGGGGACGCGACGCGGTGTAAGCTCCGGTTTCCCGCGCTTCCGTTCCCCCCGGTCGGCTGTGCCCCGCCGCCCAATCCGCGGAGCATTTCCGCCGCCGCCGCCACCAGCTGCGCCTCTGCGGACGGCGCAAGATCTGCGGAACCTCCTCGTTTTGCGCCTTTCCGCTGCACGGGCCGCGCCATCACCGCTCCTTCGTCGTCGTCGTTGTTGTCAATTTTAATGTTACCGTTACGGTTGTCGTCATCGTTAGAAGTGTTAGCGAAACCGTCAACGTTACCGGAACCGTGAAGGACGCTCCTTATGGGATTACCGGCTCTATGCGCGGCGTTACGGGGAGATATCGTTGCTGCGGAAGCGCCGGATTGCGGGGAAGCTGCGGACCAAGGGGAAATGTCCTCCCCATTGGCGGAAGTTCTTTGCACGGTGAGACTCCGCCGAGGCGGAAGGATGTGACCGGAAACCCCACTCATGTCGGGGGAACGCGCATTGGCGGAGGCGGAACGCGCCATACGCCGCCCGGCAGACGCGGGCGAATGCGGCGAGGCGGAAGAGGCAGGGAACGCCGCGGAAGACGTGGTGGATGCGGAATGAGGACGAGCCGCGGAAGAGGTAGCGGGAGAAAGGGGGAAGGCGGAAGCAAGAGAAGCTGTATCAGAGGCCGGCGCCGGTTTGTCATTCGGGGCTGGTAATGGCTTCGGCGAGGTAGAAACGGATGCTTCCGCGCCGAGCCCTATACCAGCCTCGAAGGACAAGTGAAAGCCCGCAAACTTGGACACGTCATCATCCACGTGTCCACCAGCGGCCGCTGACACCTCGTCAGTTGAGAAGGGTCCCTTCTCCGCATTCGACGGCGATTCTGGTACACAGATGGCGCGTGAGCCGCGGATTTCCCCGGATCCTGCTGCTTTTTCCGGGGAAGTTCGGCCGCCGCGTCCTGCTTTTTCCCGCGTGCCTTCCGCGGCTCCTCTCTCTGCCGGTGCGGATCTGGCGCTTTTATCACCTCCGCAGATCTCGGCGGGAGCTTTCTCCCACGACATCGACCGCCTCTCGCCCCGCGGGCGGCGGAAGCGGAAAAGGTCGGCGGAAGAACACGCAGAGGGGGCGTTCGCGGAAGCGCCTGGTTCGCGGGCTGAACTTCCCCCTCCGCGCAAGAGGCGGAGAAACCCGCCCGCACATTGCGCCTTTCCCTTCCGCGCATTCGTTAGCGTGCGCGGTGATTCCGCCCATCCGTCGGCGTTGATTGCTGCCTCCGCTTCCGCGCATTCGTCCGCGTGCGCGGGGTCATCGCCGCCCCACTCCTCGTCCATGTCCTTCGACGAGGTAGCCTTCCGCCGAACGACTTCCGCGTGCGGGCTGCGCACGGCGGAAGGCGATGGCGGAAGCCAGGGGGAAGTGTTTTCCGTTGATGTGGGTCCAAGGCCGCGCTCGCTGTCGGGGAGCGACTCGGATGTATCTTCGTCCGCGTATCGTGACATTATTCTCGTAACTGTGTAGAAGAAGAATGAGAAAACAGCTAGTTCGGTAATAGTAAAGGACGGTGACAGAGATCTCCGAGCAATAAATTGGCTGTCGCGAGGGCTCATTTTCCTTTTGAGAGCACGTGCGCCACTCGGCCGGGCCTAGTGACACTCAAAGAAAACCGGGTAAAAGCCGGGTAAAATCGTGTCCACACACTGGTGGTGATACGGTATGATGTGAGAGAAGAGACAAGAAGGTCCAAATTCACAATGCGCTTCGATGCAGCTGGGCTTGGGCATCGTGTGAATGGTTACGCGGTAAGATAATAGCCGCATCACGACCGCTAGCGAACGACACTCTAGGTTTCGCCAGCCCGAGGCGACAAAACGAAAATCCCATGTTGCAGCATTGTTGAGCTCACTTGTTGGTCGACTGCGATCCACATGGCAATTTGGCAAGTACTGTACACATGATGCTCAGCCCCTGCACCGAGCACCCGGTCTGCACCCGTGGGTTTTGTGTGATGGCGTTACACGCACTTTACAAGGACCTCGAGCAAGTGCAGTGATTGGAACCAATACTAACCACAGAAACCGAAGTTTGACTGAAGAGATTGAAGTCTAGGGTTTAGGGTGAGTTACAAATATTTTTTATAAGCCCTTTTTGCTAGGTGCGAATTGAAGAGAACATTGCGAAAAAAATAACAGTTTCTACGTCTAGAAAGTAAGAAATCTTTAGGAAACTCAAACGAGTAACAGGTGTATGTCCCCTGCCATCGAGAGGGAGGAGCGAGTCCTGACGAAAGTCAACCATCCATCCAGGAATTCGCTGCCCAGGTTTCATTGCCAAACCACAGTGCACGACTTCGTTTTCGTGGGAAGTGGGAAAGGGATGCCGGAGTTTGTGAAAGTTTCGCAAGGGATGCACAAAGGCGCGAACATTTCAACAATTCTTCAACGATTACAATTCTGTAATGCTATGCGACCTCGGTCAAGTAAAAGGTCAACAACAACTATGGTGCGCGGACTGGTCTCTGCTCGGCAGAGTGGACTCGTCAACGCAGTGAAGGTTTGACAAGCCGACAAACAAACAGTGAATGTCGCTCGCTCGATACAGGTCGTTCCGCAACAACGTAAAACATAATCAGACGCGAAATGAAATACACAGGCACACATATATGACCTCTATGATTGCAACCAACCCATGCATTGAGTTGCAAAACAATAGGGGTGTGATGGATGAATCTGTGCTTGCAATGTAATTTGCATTACAAGGTAGTTTACAAGGAAGAAATTAGAATCTACTGAACGCATAGTACAACAGGCCCTGGTCTGAACGTATGGTTACTACATTACAGCATTAGTTTAATGAAAATACTAAAACAGTATTCACTTGCCGCTGGATGAGTGAGGGGAAAGGGAAGCAGCAGACTGGTACGAAGGGGCTGTTGCCACCTAACCAGTAAAGGCAAAAATAAAAAAGGGGTTAATAAACCACGCACACACGCACTCGGACTCGTGCTCACACACAGACGCTCATACCATCTTTCCCTCCCCCACCCCCACCCCCACCCCAACCCCCCCCCCCTCCCCCTCCCCTCCCCCCCTCCTTCCCCCTTATCCCCTCCTATCCCCCGGCCCCTCCCCCCACACACACGCGCGTGAACGTGTGAGCGCACACGCTCAAATCAAACAAACAACAGAAAAAGTACCACCATTATGTTTCGTCAGATGATATGCATGCATGTCATGTCATGTCATGTCACACCTTGTCATGTCATGTCATGTCACGTCTTGTCATGTCATGTTATGTCTTGTCCACATGTCACGCCTGTTTGACGATCTCACCCCCCAACCAACGCTATCACTGCCCAAGAAGGAAACCTTTCCGCTCGCGTCTCATGCTGCTCACCCATCAGCAGGCTAACTGCCATGCTAGTAACTTGTCTCATGAGTCATCATCACCCCTGCCATGTCATGCTGTGCCATGCCATGTCATGATCCTTATCCCTCGTCATCAACCAATGCTGGCATCGCATATGGGAACCTCCTCACGCACACCACACAATTAAACGACACCTGCTCCTGCTTCGCTCCTCCCTCCCATCCCATGTTAGTCAGGCGTCAGTAGCCCAGCCTCCCATACCGATACACTGTCATGTCTACTTCATGCCACGTCATCGCCCAATGCTGGCATCGCAGGATGGTAAAGCTCCTCACACACACCACACGGTTAAACAGCCCCTCCCTCCATCATCAGCTTTGCTCCCATCCCTTGTTACTCAGCCCGTCACTAGCCCACCCCTCCCCCACCGGTACACTGTCTATCTCATGCCATGTCATCACCCAATGCTGGCATCCCAGGACGGGAACCTTCGCGCGTGCACCACACAGTTGTACGACACCTATTTTTTGAGGCGCCTAAAAAATTAACAACACCTGCTTCTTCACCTCCAGTTCCATCCCATGCCGGTCGGCCATCAATAGCCAAGCCTCCCATGCCGGTACGCTGTCTACCTCGTGTCTCATCTCATCCTCGTTGATCAATGCTCGCATCACAAGACAGGAACCTTCGCACACGAGCCACGCGGTTAAACGACACCTGCTTCTTCAGCTTCGTGCCTCCCATCCCATGCTAGTGGACATGCCACCTCATTGGCCAATGCTGGCATCGCACGAGGGGAACCTCCTCATGCGGACCACATGGTTGAATGACACCTGCTGCTTCAGCGCTGCTCCCATCTGCTCCCATCTGATCCTGGCCAGCCGTCCAGCCTCCCATGCCAGGCTTCTTAAGCACTGCTCCCATCCCATGCTAGTGGACATGCCACCTCATTGGCCAATGCTGGCATCACAGGACGGGAACCGTCGCACGCGCACCACGCGGTTAAATGACACCTGCTTCTTCAGCTTCGTGCCTCGGCGACGCTTAACGTTCTCGCGTTTGAACCTGACGGTCGCCGGATAGAGTTTGCCACTTGGCTTGACGACCTGCAGCTATTTCTTATGACGGATGCCAAAGACGGCGTTTCTCTGTTCGATCATGCGTCAGGCACTGCCGCTGCCCCTACTGCCACTGATCCTGTTCTTGACCGCTCACAGTGGCAGACTCGCGATTCTGCTGCGCGCCTCGTTATCCGTAACCACCTTCCGATCACTGAGCGCACGCATTTTTGTCAGCACAAGACTGCTAAGGCGCTGTATGACGCTGTAGTTGCGCGCTATTCCTCCCCAGCCACTGCAGCCGTAGGACGCCTCATACTGCCCTACCTGTTCCCCGACCTGTCCTCGTTTACCACCGCTGAGGACCTCATCTCTCACCTCCGCGCTAGTGACGCCCGCTTTCGTGCCGCTCTTACCGACGAGTTCCTCGCCACGAACACCCCACCGCTATACTTTACCCTCTACATCCTCGTCACTCGCCTCCCTGACACTCTTAGCTCGGTCAGGGACCATTTCCTCGCCAAGGACCCTACCACTATCACTGGGTCTGGTCAGTGACCTCAGAGACCTCCCCTACTCTACGGTGGACGGGGAAGGTTGGCGATGCGTCTGCGTTTCGTGTCTGGGGATCTCGGGCTTTTGTCCGCGACTTGTCTGCGGAAAAGCTGCCCCCCCGTGCTGTTCCCTGCGTCTTCCTTGGCTTCCCCCCTGAAACGCCTGGTTGGCAGTTTTACCACCCCACCTCGCGCCGTGTTCTGTCTTCACAGGACGTCACGTTTGACGAGTCGGTCCCCTTCTACCGTCTCTTCCCCTACCGCACTGCCCCGCTCCCCCCTCCGCCGCTCTTCCTCACGCCAGGTGCTGCCTTGGTAGACCCCTTGCCTCCCCAGGTTCCTGCTCCCTCAGGTGTTTCCCAGGTAGACCCGGTCGAGCCTGTCGAGGTAGCTGTCGACTCTGGTCCTGCGCGAGGTACTGAGCGTGCTGAGCCTGGTGGTGCTGGGTCTGGAGGTACTGAGCCTGGGGGTGCTGAGCCTGGGGGTGCGGAGACTGGGGGTGCTGAGCCTGGGGGTGCGGAGACTACGGGGTGCTGAGCCTGGGGGTGCAGAGACTGCAGGTGCTGAGCCTGGGGGTGCTGTCCCTGGTGGTGCTGGGTCTGGAGGTCCTGAGCCTGGGGGTGCTGCGCCTGGGGGCGCTCTCTCTTCCCAGCAGCTGCGTGAGTGGTACTCTCGGTACTGTCGCAGCCTCCGTGGTGCTGCTGGAGCTGGAGCTGAGAGCGCTGAACCTACTGGAGTTGGTGTTGCTGCTGACCCTGGGGTCGGCGCTGGAGGTGCTGGAGCCTCTGGTCCTGGAGGTGCTCGTACTGGCGGTACTGGAGCTGCTGGGACTGGGGGTGCTGCTGGAGCTGTTGGCGCTGGTCCTGCTGGAGGTGCTGCTGGTGCTGCTGGAGGTACTGGAGCTGCTGGTGCTGCTGGGGGTACTGGAGCTGCTGGGCCTGGAGGTGCTCCTGGTGCTGGAGCTGCTGGCGGTGCTGGAGCTGGCGGTCCTACTGGAGTAGGTGCTGCAGGAGCTGGAGCTGCTAGGGGTGTTGGAGCTGGAGGTGCTGCTAGCGCTGGTGCTGCCGCTGGGGGTACTGGTGCTGTCCCTGCTGTTTCCGGAGGCGCTGCGCGGCCGCGGCCGTACTTCGTTCCGCTCCTTGAGCAGGTTCTTGGTCTCCCGCCTTCTACTGGTCCTGCTCCTCCCTTAGAGTGTCGACAGCCTGACCAGTCGCAGTCACAGTTACAGCCCGCCTCCCCACTGCCTGCTCCTTCTCCCTACAATGGTCCTACTGGAGGTCTTGCTGAGCGTCGTGCGCCTGCGTCTCGTCCTGCATCGCCTGTTCGTGCTGCTCGCACTAGTCGTCGTGTTCCGCGTCAGCGTCCTCCTGCGGTCCCGGGCACGCACCAGATGGCACTGCGTCCTTCCACTGCTCCGCAGCGTGTCCCTTTGCCGTCTCCTCCAGAGTCCTCTCTTCCTGCTCTTGCTGACCCGGAGTCGGACTCTCTTCGTGCTGCCAGTCCTACTGTCACGCGTCTCCT